TCCCCATTCATTGTAAATGTACACCTCACACAAACATCAAACCAGCCTCAACCGTATCACCGATTCGCCTCAAAATCGCTCCACATTATCTCAACACATGTACCATCAAAATGACTTCAGGGAATTTTGATCAGTGAAACGTTGTTTGAGCAGCAGAGCGCCAAAAAGTGGCGTAATTTTTTTCCGTTTTTGACAATATAAAATTTGCTTCCGTTTGCACAAACAAAGTCTGATTTGCACAAAACCTGAATCCATGGTTCAACTCTTGGGTCTAGGTCATTTGAAAGTAAAAATGTTGAAATTGGCTCTATAGCGCCACCTACAACAGCCAATTTAAAAATGCCTATGGGAGGGGTTTGAGGTCAAAATTGTCGTAGAGCCATGTAATTTGGTACACATATTCCTCAAGTCAAGACATGGAAAAAATGTTATTATGGCTAAGCCCTCTGACAAACAGGAAGCCCATAAATTTCATTGCAAAATGGAAAAATTAAAACCAATCATTTTCATACATGTCGGTTGGAAAGCGACTCCTCCTCGACCGTTTCACCGATTGGCCTCAAAATTGCTCCAAATTATCTCAACACATTTATCTTCAAAATGACCTCAGGGAATTGTGATCAGTGAAACGTTGTTTGAGCAGCGGAGCGGCAAAATGGAAAGTTTTTTTCTGCCGTTTTTGACAACATTAATTTTTTTCCCGTTTGCACATACAAAGTCTGATTTGCATCAAACTTGAACCCATTGTTCAACTCCAGGGTTTAGGTCAGGTGAAAGTGAAATATTTTAAATTGGCCCATTAGCGCCCCCTAAAGACCTAGTCAAAATTTACATGGGGAGCCAAACCAGCTCTACTTATCATATTCATTACAATTTGACTAACAATCTTCTGTGGCTACGGAAACAAATCATCACACGGCGGCGCCAACTCCTTTAAGCGGTGCTGCAAGGTACGGTGTGGTGCGGCGTAGTGCGGGGCGTTGTGGAGCGGCGCGTTGTGGCTTGGTGCGGGGCGGCGTGATGGGGGACGGCGTGGTGCAGGGCGGCGTGGTGCGGGGTGGCTTGTCACGGGGTGGTGCGCGTGCGGGGGAGTCGCGCGGTGCGGCGAGGGCCGTTCGACGCCGCTTGCGGCTTTAATTATTATTATTATTATAATACATATTGCCATTGTACTTATATATATATTATATATATTAAGTACAATGGCAATTAAAGAAACAGTGGCAATAGTAGTGAATGTGTTTAGTCCTGGAGCAAGTGACTTAAAGTGACTTAAAGTGGTAAATATACAAAGTCCAGTGTATTTCCCAGCCCTTCTGCAGTTCACTTAAACGCACAAAAGGCAGGAATGTGTGTCTTCATCTCTGGAGATCAACAGCTCTGTAGGCTGCAGAGTTAACAGGTGAAAAAGTAGCAGCTTATAGTTCAGCAAGTACTGTAGTGGTCATACTATCTGAGGTCATTACTTGAACATATGGCTGGGCAATATGTAAAAAGTAAATATACATAAAATAAATATGTATGAATTCATTATACATAAACCAACAACTTGTTGCTATGTTTTGGAATAGCAAAAAGTGTTTACTTCATCCAATCCCTTTTTTATTTACTTGATGATTTGCAATATTTGAAATACATTTTATTTATTTTTTATTATGCAACATTTACACAAACAATACAATAGCAATAATAACAAAGTCTGATGTTGACAAAATACAAAACAAAAACAAACAGAAATAAATAAGACAATAACAAATCAAGGAAATTAGTAGTAACTGAGGGAGGTATTCTGTGAGTGTTTGTGTACGTGTGCGTGTATGTGTGTGGGCGTGTATGTGCGCGTGTGTGTGTGCGTGTATGTGTGTGCGTGTACGTGTACGTGTATTTGTGTGTGCGTGTATGTGCGCGTGTATGTGTGTGGGCGTGTATGTGCGCGTGTGTGTGTGCGTGTATGTGTGTGCGTGTACGTGTACGTGTATTTGTGTGTGCGTGTATGTGTGCGTGTATGTGTGTGCGCGTGTATGTGTGTGTGCGTGTATGTGCGCGTGTGTGTGTGTGCGTGTATGTGCGCGTGTGTGTGTGTGCGCGTGTCTGTGTGTGTGCGTGTATGTGCGCGTGTGTGTGTGCGTGTATGTGTGTGCGTGTACGTGTACGTGTATTTGTGTATGTGTGCGTGTATGTATGTGCGCGTGTATGTGTGTGTGCGTGTATGTGCGCGTGTGTGTGTGCGTGTATGTGTGTGCGTGTACGTGTACGTGTATTTTTGTGTGCGTGTATGTGCGCGTGTATGTGTGTGTGCGTGTATGTGTGCGTGTATGTGTGTGCGCGTGTATGTGTGTGTGCGCGTGTGTGTGTGTGTGCGTGTATGTGCGCGTGTGTGTGTGTGCGCGTGTATGTGTGTGTGCGTGTATGTGCGCGTGTGTGTGTGCGTGTATGTGTGTGCGTGTACGTGTACGTGTGTGTGTGTGTGCGTGTATGTGTGTGCGCATGTAAGTGTGTGTGCGTGAAATACATTTTATCAATAACCTATGTTTGTGCAAAGAGTGTGAAACATATGGCACTAGTTAATTTAACTTGGAAAAGTGGACTCATGTTTAATTTTCTCATTAGATGGAAACTGAAGTGCTGCCATACGTGCCAAAGCTCCACGGAGAGGAATCGTCAATACTATATGGACCTGCTGAAAACATGATTAAGTAGTGTGAACTAAGCTGTGAAAGTGGCTTTTTTTATGAGCTGAAACATTAGGCTCGCATTTCATTTAAATGTACTTTATTATTTTATTTTAAAAGGTGTTTTTAACTGTTTTCACTGAGTTGCTTTGTAGATGAATGAAAAATTTGTATTGTGTTTCTGTTTGTTTCTTTTCAGACACATGTTTTGGTTTATAATGGCATGATCTCATTTGAGAACTGGTCATAGTAATTAAAATTGACATTTTCAGACTCTGCAATAATGTGTAATCAAAATGCTAAAATGTAAAATGAATAAAAGACATATTTTCTGTCATTATCGTTATCATCAGTGCCCTTTTAAACAATTTCCCCATCGTAACTATAATCGTTTTAGTTTGCCAAACAGGGAAACATAATAAGGCAAAGTAATCAGGCAAAGAGGTCTGTTAGGGAGTTGTTGTTATTCTTATCCAGATGTTTTCACACTGAGCAACAAAGAAACACAATAGCTCTGAGCTTCCTTCACTTTGTCACGTCTAACCACACAGCAGGGATGTGTCATTATGTGTGGCATCCACAATAGGAGTGGAATAAAATTGATAAAAACATGTCTTTGGTGGAAACATCTGGATTTCCTCTGGCTCTGGATTTCCTCTGCTTGATACTGTAGATTGATAGATATATACATAGACAGATAGACACTTTATTACTCCCCCGTGGAGAAATCCAGGTGTCCAGCAGCAGCAGAAACACATCCATCCATACAACCAAAAGAAATGAAGTGGGTCCGCGTGAATTTGGGCCATATTTCTATGTCCAAACCCGGCCCGTGTCCAACAGAGCAGTACCCTAACCACTTGATAGTTATGTCCTTGGTGTAGAGTCTGACCCTACACCAAGCCCCGGAGATCCAAGATGGCGCCTTATTCAAATGAATGGCTTGTGCTCAGTAGCGCATGGGACTTCACGGAGACCGGGAGATAAGCAGAACTCGCCTCAATTTGGGCATTGTCTGGTCCTTCCGGTTCTGCGCAGTGGACGAGCTCCCATGATGCGTTGCGCCAAATATGCGTGTGTGGCTCTCATGCACGTGCACAGAGGGGCTCGGCTGCGCTCTGACCAATCAGAGCTGCTGATCAGAGCAGCAGCAGAGTGGAGTCAGAGCGGGAAGAAAAGGAGCAGAGTTTGTGGCAGTAAAGTGTAGATTTAAAGAAAACCGAGGGATTTAAGAAGAAAAAAAGTTCAGGATGACAAGGGACACTAAAATCCCCACAAAATCCGATATTTCTCAAAGCTGTAGGTTCTCTGTCAGCAGAGGTCGAGTTGTTTTAATTTACATTGAGTTCTATGGGACTTTTTTTTGGGTATCCATCCATCCATCCATTTTCTTCCCCTTAATCCATTTCTGGGTCGGGGGGGTGGCAGTCAGAGCTGCACCCAGTCCACAGAGCACCAGCCCCTCACTGATCCTCCTGCAGGTGGTGAGTCCACAGGAGCTGAGATCTTTCAGTTGGGGCTTTGGGCAAAGTAGGGTTAAGTGTCTTGCCCAAGGACACAACGACAGCAGTCATCAGTGGGAGTCGTGAAGTAGGTCTTAAGGTGGGCTCAAACCCACGACCTTCAGGCCCAAAGGCCAATGCTCTACCAACTGAGCTACTGTCGCCCCTTTTTTTTTTGGGTAGCCCAAGTGAATTTAGTTTGCATCCATTATTATAGATCCATGCCCAACACCTACACAGTTTCCAATTTTTTTTTATAATACCCCCTTGAGTAAATGTAGTCATTATTCAACATTCAAAAGTCAAAAGAATAGGCTCTTAGTGAAACAAATCAGCGTAGCATTCAGCAGTGGCAGCCTTATCACACAAAACATCAGAGGTACGTACTGTCTGACAAGTAACTGACTTCAAAGCCATTACAAAACAAAACAATAGTTGAGGTAAATGCCATGGTGAAACCGAGAATACTTTCCCCATTATCTGTCTGAACCTGGCCCGCACTTGTCGGGTACTGAATGGTCCAGGGTGGGTATCCATGCTCCAGTTCACACCTGCTACACTGGAAGCTACTCATTATTTTTGCAAAGAAGAAAGAAAGAAAATATTTTTGCAATCTTAAAAAAGAACAATGACCTGAAGAAGATAGTTGTTAAAAATCATTTTTCCAAATCAGATGATGAACAAGATTTAACATTGATCACCAGGATTCCACAAAGACAGGTGTCACACTCACACGCACAGGACAGAGTGATATTTTTAGCCCTGTACTCTCCACTGTGGCGTCTGACGAGAACATGTGAATAAAAGCGCCCTGGTCTCCACTTACTTGGCCAGGTGCTTCATGATCATCTCCAGCATCTGTCTGTTCTTTTCAGGCAGACGATGAACCAGCGCGTGGATTTCTGTCACACGGGCGTCAGGATTATCCAGCTCTGGTGAAGGAAAAAAAAAAACCACACATAACACACTTTTTTCACAAACAAAACATATTCATTCATTTGATTCATTGCCGCACTACAGCGAGACATTTAGCGAACCCTTCTTTCCCTCCTCATAGTCTTTACCAGGCTTAAAAGGTGGGGTGGATTGTATAAACAGAAGCTACAAATGTTGATCCGCCATTCATAATTCTTCTTGTAGAGATGGGTACAGAGATGACAGCGGAGTCACTGTAGATCATGCCTGGAGCTGTACCTGTCAGCTCCTGCTAATATACAGACAGAGGCTGCACCAGGCCAGAACATGTAGGAGGAGGACTGTATACTGTTAATACTATCACTGTAGATAGAGGCCGAAGCAAGAGTGAAGACAATTTGAGCTTATTGCACTAATACAGCTAAATCCCCATGGTAGAAAAATAAATGCACAGTGTACTTTATAAGAGTTTTTCCTTGCTGATACAGGAGGGTCCAAGGACACCCAGGACACCCAGGAAACTTGATTAAGGCCATTGGTCATCCTCCATGTGTTTTTTTTTATCATTGCATTTCTTGTGTTTGAACTGTTTGATTCTCTGATCTGTGCTGGGGAATTTGAAATGCATGGATAATAATCTCCAAGTCTGCTTTAGACACTTTTTTTTTGATCTTGGCATTTTTTTATAGATGGTAGAAAGCTGCTGATGTTACTGATTTTATGCAGGCTATTAAAATGTAAATCTGAGTCCAGTATTACCCCTAGATTTCTGAACTGATTTGAAGATTTTAGGAAGAGAGACTGGAGGTGACAGATGAGGCGGACCAAAGACGATTATTTCGGTTTTGTCTGTGTGTTTAGCCAAAATCCACTCACTGATCTGTTGGATACACTGGTCCATGTTCTCCTGCAGTCAGTGAGACATAAATCTGAGTGTCTTCTGTGTAGTTGTGATAGAACACATTGTAACTGTGTATTAACTGACCTAAAGGCAGCAAGTAGAGATTAAACACAAGAGGTCCTAAGATCGACCCCTGTGGTACTCCACCGGTCAGGGCCATATGATCTGAGACACAGTTTCCAATTTCTATGAAGTACTTCCTGTCTTCAAGGTAAGAATTTAACCAAATTAGAGCAGTGCCAGCGACACCAACCCAGTCTTCTCTCTATAAGAGGATCTTGACAGTGTCAAAAGCTGCACTTAGATCTAACAGGATTAAGATTATACTGTCTGTGAGATCAATTAGAGGAATGGTAAAAATGCCCTGTCTGATGTTGAACTTGGAGAATAGAGAGCCGTGGATAAGGACAAGCCCTTATACAATGTACCGCCTGGACTTACTTGAGTGGTGAGAAAACGTGTAGAAAGTGTGGAACAATGGGAGCAATCATGCAAGCAGCCCTTAATTAGTTATTAATTATGATAAGCCCTCCAAGCCCTTTGTCACATCATTGCAATACGCAGAAAACCACTGTACAGAGTTATATGTAAATTACAAAGTTCTGTGATAAGCCATTGAACAAAAGCAAGTCTGATTGTTACTCTCAAAAACGTGGCAAACTAGCATGAGCAGAGGAATATTAATATTAATATTAAGATAAAAATACAAAAAACATTGTGTTTTTAGTAGTTATTTTAAGCACAGAGGGACCATTACGCAGGTAAATCTCTCCATCTCTTTATCTGCACAAAGGAAACATCTGGGGCTCCTGGGGAAATGGAAGCTTGAGTTATACTTGCAGACGCCGAGAAAACAACTCAATTCAACCCAAAGGATGAATGAAAAATTTATAAAATATAACTATACAAAAAAAAATAGAATACATGAAAAAGAACATAAAAAGACCAGACAACTAGGGCGGGGTTAAAAGCCAGAGAGTAAAGGTGGCTCTTAAGCATATACTATATATAGATGGAAGTAGGTAATCTTTTTTAGACCGCCTGTCACAGACCAGGCACATGCTTATTGTACATCTTTTTAGTGGTAGGGGAAACCGGAGACAATGGAGGAAACCTACGCAGACACGAGGAGAACATGCACACTTCAAACAGAAAGGCCTGGAGGTGGTATCAAAACCAGAACCTTCTTGCCGTGAGCCAAAAATAGATTTTCTTCATATTACAAGGCCTACAGACACCATCCTTATTTTAATACAGTATAATACAAAAGATCTGTGTGGGTCCGTAAAAGTACTCTAGAAAAAATGATAAAATATGACGTAATGATTGCTTGAATCGAGTGGTTTTTATCTGAAATTAAAGTACATTCTGACTGTCTCTGGCCAATGGGACAAAGCCATTTAGTCTTATTTCAAGAACTGTTGCTTTATTGTCTCATTCCAAGGCAGACATTTCTTGCATATTTTTAAAACAATATCATTTTGCTTTGTCCCATTGGCAAATCTTGTTATAAGCCAGTCAAAATGTGCTCAAATGAAGGTGGATCTGTTTCGCTTTTTGCAGTGTACATAAGAACTAGGTAACAATTTTGTACAGTAACAGTGAAGAAGGAGTGACTGCGGTGGTTCACACGAGGATACTGTCCTCACTTCACCCTTTCAAAAGTGTCGACAGAAAAACGGATGTTCAGAAGTTACACAAACACAAACAAAACCACACAAAAAGGCAGCAGTGACTACACATTTTACACCACAATGATAAAAGATAAAGTGAAGCAAGAATATAATGACTAACTAATTTCCAAACACAGCCCTTTATCTTGAAGTAATTCCGTCATATATTTTAGCGCCATACAAATAAAGTTTCACTCCTTATTGAACAAATTCTTTCATCCAATAACAAAACATGAAGATAGCAGCAAATTTTCCAATATCTGTTCAACATCATTGTACTTGAAATTAAACTTACGATGTGACAAAAGTCAAATCTAAATTTAAAATACAATAAATACATAACTTATAATTAACTTCAATACATATATTTTTGCCATTTCAAGCAGTGTCAACTATAGATAATAATACAATAGATATTATACAAACGGTCAAAACACTTAAAGAGCAGCAGATTCCATGGAAACGCCTTCTCATACTTGATCTATTGTTTGGATTTCTATTGTTATTGTGACCTGAATAATCGATTCACCGAATAGCCTTGACATCTCTACCTCACACAGCTTTAAGGAGATTAGCGGCTAGTCTATATCAGCGGCAGACATCCAAAGATTCAGGTATCAGCTTTCAAAATGGACATTTCCTGGTAAAATTCCAAAGATATTTCACAAGTTTCCTTCCTCTTTGTGAGTTATGATTTTGTACACCTCATAATTATGTGGAATTACCCCAGAACAGACCTGCATATACACATAAATATCTGTATATAGAATAATGCTGCAATCTTAGCAAGGTTTAGCCAAATAAAACAGGAAATGTTTTGTATTTCCAAATTTCCAGTAAGGAAATAGAAACAAGAATAAATCAAACAGTTATGCAGTAGATAGTTAGATTGACTCATGCACGTTTGAGTAATCCTGTATTATCCTGATTTCAAGACAAAATTGTGTATTGTCTTGACTTTTTTTGTAATCATGTGTTTTACTGAATTGCATCGTCCCCTTTCAAACACATCAGACTAAACCAAACTAAGACTGAAACTGCCTTTTTCTCACACTCATTCTATGCTAAAACTGCACCTTCTGAGGAGGGTTTTAAGTCCTGTCTTAAGAGCATAAATGGTAATAGAACTTAAAGAGTCAATGTCAGTCAAGAGGAGCCAGAGGAAAAAACTTCATCCATGAGCACTTCCCTATTGGGCTTTAATAAGCTTGGGCGTTAAGTGTGGTCCATCTCTATACAGTCTATGCTTAAGACCCACTTTTACTCTCTGGCTTTTAACACCGCTCGAATCTTGTGGGCTTTTAATGAACTCTTTTTAGATACTTATTATTTCATTCTACTTTCATTCTACTGATTTTATTTATGGAATAGACGGTAAAAAAAAAATACATATTTGCTTTTCATTCATGGACACTGTTATATTTTGTCTTTAACTGTGATCTTAAAATATTGCTTGTCAGTCTTTGTGCAGCACTGTTTATTAAATGAAAAATAAGTCAAAAATTACTCAAATTGGCAAAATGCATCTAAATTTGAGCGTATTTTGCCTTAACACAAAATTTGACAATGGAACAAGCAAATAGATCTTGTTTTAAAAAGATCCGAGAAATGTCTCCCTTGGAATGATAAAAAAAAAATTGCAAAAGGATTCTTAGTAGTAATAGTAGTAATTTTATTTTAGTCAATAACATCAGAATAATAAATAAATCTTCATGTTATTATTGTAAAACATATATAAAATGGCTCTGTCCCATTGGCAAATCTATCAGAATGCACTCAAATTAGGATAAAAACCACTTGATTCAAGCAATTATTACCTCTTATTATATGACTTGGGCCGTACGCGCGCTCTGATTGGCTGATTACCGGTCTGATATTTTCCCATCTCGGACCGTTACCATGACAATCTGTCTGCAGCGTGTATCACACAAAACCAAGTCGGACATGAACATACTTCACAAATATCTCAAAAGTATTGGTAAAGACACAGACGAGAGTCATATAATAAAACATGTATTAACCTCGCTTGCTCGGTCTGTGCAGAGAAATATCAGACCTTGGCCTTTTTGCATTAAGGCTGCGGTCTGATATTTCTCCGTACAGACCTCGCGCTCGGTTAATAAGCCGTTAATATTTTATCATTTTTGCAGTGTATTCAAATAACGTGGATCAGATAAAAGTCAAGATCAGGTCAAACTGCATTGTTCCATTACAGGCTTAAGTCGTCTTCAGCAGCTCCGCGCCAACGACCCCCTACTGTGTGCTTCAATGACACTCCCATGCCGCTCTGTGCGTCTGAGCCACAGCAGAGGAAGCAGAGCAGGAGCAGGCGACTCCGCAGCAGGAGAACGCTTTACTGATGCAACAAAAGGATGTCGTGCAGTTTTGTGTGGAGAGGAAACACGAGCACGGATCAGGGCTGCAGGGTTTTAAACTGGCTCTGCCCACATTTTAATGTTGATTTTGCAATTTGATTTTTTTTTTCTATTTAAAAAGTTGGTATTTAAAGGGAAACATAACACAATTCTGTCTTCTATATATTATAATCTATGGCATAATATGGCTCATTAGTACTTGAAGCTCGGAAAATGTGAATTTTGTTTAAAAGCTCATTTATTTCTTTTTTTTTCTGTTATCATTTTGAGGATTATGGCTTACAGTCCATTTTTGTATGAGCCAACTATCAACATTATACATTAACAAATAAAGGCTTGGTAGAATTTTGATATTCTAATTTTCAAAGTTTTAACCTGTATTTAGTTCAAATAAAATCTCAATATTGAGCTCGAACAATGTTATAATAGAAACCGTTTTTTGGGGGGGGGTTTCATTTCCCTGTTGAATCCTGTGGAATGCCTTTTCGGATTGACCTTAAATGCAACAACAGGAAACAAAAACTTAAGATCACTTAAGGCTCTGCTCAACACCAGACCTAGCTGTGATTCAATTATATTTTTCCCTTATAGCAAAAATTAAGGAGCAAGACGGGTGAATCGAAGGAAACCTGGAGGAGGGGGCAGTGGTCAGAGGACTGAGGGTAGAGTAATGGCGTATACAATTATCGCAAACTTGCATTCTTACTGGTTATGTCCCCTTTAAAGGTGATATCAGCAACTTGTATATTGTTGTATTTATTAATTTCAGTATATTTCATTTCTAAAAGAACGTATATTTCTGAACATGGGACACTGTACTATTATGTACGGTAAGTATTTTTCAATAGTCCCTCCCCTTGGCAGAAGTACAACCAGTAAGATTTCCTAGAGGAGAACAGTTAAACCAATGACAAAGGGCCTCAAGTATTTTAATTACTTTCGACCAATCAGGGGGCAGCGGGGTGAGCATGGGCGGGTCTAATCAGTGCTTGTCTTTCTTCAGAATATGAAAAGTGACTGACATTGGCTTTAAAGATTGAACCAAAGCTATAAATATGGTAAAAATGTATGGAATCTATTGATAAAATGATTAATATGCTTTGTCATCACATCATTTACTTCATGCCTGGGGAGTAGATTAAAATAATATTCTTGGGACAGTTGTTTTGAAAATCGTTTTTTGAGAAGCAGGTTGTTATTGGAGTGACCAGCCTCCTCATCCTCCTCATCCTCCTCTTTCAGATTCACTCCTGTCAAAGCACATGCTGCACATTCAGCCCATTACGCAGAGACAGAGACTTACTGGCAGCTTTGATGAAGCTCCTCTGATACTGGTACGTCATTAGAGGAGCAGGCAGCATTCTGCAAACACAAACAGGAATATAATGCACACAGAACAAGCAGGTACAGCACTAAAGGCTTTTCATTTATGAACAGAAATATCGGGGCAATGTTACAGCCTGGTGTGTGTGTGTGTGTGTGTATATGTTTGTGTGTGTGTGTGTATATGTGTGTATGTGTAAGAGCACTCTCACATTCTCGTCTTCACCGATAACAAGTGAAGGCTAAAAGTGTTTATATAATACCTCTGATATCAAAGACACAGAGAGGAGGTCAGGACGATTGCCGCTGCCGTGGCAACGTTTGAGTGCTTTTGCCAATAAGTTAAGTAAGTAATCTTCTTTTACATATATAATAATTTTTTCACGGACCAGAGTCACAAAGCGTTTTACAATTGTTTTTCCTCTAACTCCACACAGCGATGGAAGCTGGGTTGTCGTTCAGGAGGTGCATGCCAGACCTATTGTGCATGTTTTAGTGGCGGGGGAAACCGGAGCACCTGGAGGAAACCTACCTCCACACAGAAAGGTCTGGAGATGGAATCAAACCCTGGACCTGCTGCGCCACTGTGCCACATACGGTATGTCCCAATGCTAATTTGTTCAAAGCGTGACTGGTTGATTACTGAAAACAGCTGATTTTATCTTTTTGATTTATTTTTAAAGGCTTCAGATAAACAGTGGGTGAGACATTGGGACACTTTCTTTTGTGTTCCTCTTAAAGTAGAACACAAAAGATACCCAGTATTTTATTAGTGGAATGTTTGTTAATCGCACATATTTTTTGCAGCTGTAGATATTTTGTGCATAAAATGTAGTTAAATGTATTCATTTTTACAATAGAGAGATATTTTGAACAAATTACTTCAAATGAGGATTGATTTGGAAAGTCGTTATTGTTCACTAATGCTTGGATTGAAACTGGATCAAAAGTTTGTAGTTTGGGTTATTTTTTTCTGGAGAAATAGCTTTAAATTGAGAAAAAATGCCATGGTAGCACGTTGGATAGATGGCCGAGAGCAGATAATGTATTGCAAAATAGTGATTAAATTGAATTGTGAGCTGTGTAATGTGTAGAATCGGGCGCTTCCCTTTGAAATTATATTAACTAAATATGGCACAACACGTTTTAACTTTACAATCGTGAATGCCGGTCCCTGACTAACTTCTATGGAGATAAAATAGCTCGACCTCCTGCTCCTGCAAATGCCACATCCATCTCTGCGTGGACGAGCCACTGACACCAGCAGGTCAAGTGACAGATCAGATCTGTGGAGCCGACTCACCGTAAGAATGAGGGTATCTTTGGACAAGGTCTTTTTATACACCTACACTCTGGAATGAGGCGCACCAGCATTTCAAAGACCGAACCGAAGGCTTGGAGTATTTGACTGAGACAAGAATAGACATAAAATAGCTACTGTACAAACCTTTTTTTGAGAAATATTTTAAAAACTGTGTACAAGCTTTTGACAGATCAGATACCAAAAACCTTTTTCAGTGCTTCTTTGGTGCAATCATTGCTCCTTTCATCAACTGGCACTTTCCTTTAAATGCTCGGGGAATATTTAACAGACAATTTCACATCAAAAGGTGCTGAAGAACGCCTTGGCTAAAAAAAAATCAATCATCTATAACAACTTGATATTAGCACACATTGCAGTGCACTTGAAAGCTTGCTATACTTTACTGGTCCTTGCAGGGTCTGGTCGTTTCTCTTTTCTCTGTTTGTCTGAATGTCGAAAGCACGCACAGTTGGACATGGCGTTATCCCAGCAGTCCGTTTGGTTTTTGTGGTTCCTGCTGGTTTACAATGACCTCAAAGCATAATCCTCGCTCCGTTAACCTCACACTTCCTGGTGGGTAAGCACCTAAGTCAGTTTATGTATTTGAACCCGTTTATACTAAAAAGTAAAAATGTTTTAACCCTTTTTGTTCCATTAGATTGCATGAGCACAGCACAGCCCCCGCTGCAGAGATCCTACCCACAATACATTTCAGCTTCACTTACAGGAGACATGCATATAGAGAGGAGCTGGTGTGGTAGTCTTTTTATGGTTGGGTATACTGTAGTTATTATTATTAGAGTCTTTTGTTACCTTTTGTCATGGAAAAGTATATATAGCAAATGGTGGTTGATCATTTATAAGGAACAAATTGTACTGAATGTAGGTATCTTAGTAACTGCAGCCAGCTAAATGGACAATTGTATTGTCTGTGATGTATGTATTGAATTGTATTGTAGGCATCATTGGAAACTGGAATATAAAACACTGATAAAGCTCAGACTGGTAGAGGTGCAGTTTCATTCCAAAATCAGACCACCTCCAAAATGATATATTTTCTCTTTGTCTCATACAATGCAGTAAAAAAGCAGTATTCTATATTGTATCTAAATGGATACAATCTCAAATCTGTAATCTAGACATCTGTGTTTTTACCCCCCTGAAAATCTGGCCATAACTATTCAATCATTCCAAGTTCCTCTGGAAAAGAATATTAGATTAAAAATGTCTGATTAGTGCGTCATAATGTAATGGCTACAGTAGATTTCAAAAGTAATGTAATTATGATTAAAAATTACATTTGTATACGGCATCAAATCCTTTTACTGCTGATTTTAATAGTAATCAATGTTACAATGTTAAATACTGACAGTGTTAAAGGGCTGTGTTTTCTGGGATCACATTGATAATGACCAGTGATATTTTGAGGACTATGTTCATTTCACACACGACTAAAGTTGGAGTAAAGTCCTCTAAAAAACACTGATGTTGGAGGCTAGATTCCGCTGTCTTAAAAAAAAAAAAAAAAAAAAGTGTAAGTATTTATGGTCTGTTTCACAATTACATTCCGGCCCATTGTATATTTTCTTAGTGGTAGAGGAAACCGGAGCAACTGGAGGAAACCGGAGACATGTGGAGAACATGCAAAATCCACACAGTAGTAGGTAGAATCGATAAGTTAGTACTTGTATCACTTGTTCACTGTGCCATCATGGAGGATTTCTGAACATTTCGTCCAAATCTCTCCCATAACGTTTTGTCGTATGTTGCTTATGAGCAAACAAACAAACTCTGGTGAATGCAATACCTCTCCCCAAAGGTATATTTATACATTTTATATTTGATTTTTTTATGAGGAGGGTGAATATTCATAAAGAAAAATGCTTTATAATTGTTATTACCTCAGATAGAACTTGATTGCACTTGTGATGGTTTTTATCTCCCAGTCTGAACAGTCCAGTTCAACATCGGCACATGTCTTGGGATCTATGGAAAAAAACAAAACAAAAACAATCAACATACCATAATCTTTGTAATCAAAATAAATCCACTATGAGAAAAAAACTGAACATTTACCCATTGCTAAGGTCAGTAGTTTTTGGACTTTGGAACTCACACCAACGATTCTGTACAAGCCTTGTTCATTAATACCTGAGAAAATAATTGTAAATCCTATTATAGTTTGAATGTGTGGAAGCAGAAAAAGTTACTATAAAAACATTTGATAGAAATGCAATTATCACAATGACTCATTCGCTTGAGTAAGTAAACAAGTGATATACGATATATAAACATTTATAATAATAATAATGGAAAAAGGGACATCTGTTCACACGGCAATGCAAAAAAAAAACTATTAAATAAAAATACTAATAATAAAAAATCCAGATGAATACAGGTGGATCTATATTGTGACGCCTGGTGTCTCTCTCTGCTGTTCACATAAACATAAACCACGGCTGATAAAGCTGCGTATACATTCGTTCCATCGTCCCAAGAGATTCTGTACACCCCATAAAAATACATACATTACTTTTAAAAAAAAATGGGAAAACATGGCTTCTAGTCCGGCAATTACTGTAATATTTTAGATAAATCTTATGAAGGTAGCTGGGTTAGAGAACTGGCATACATGGTGGGAAGTAATGTTGTGATGCTAAACTCGAAATACATTGTTGTCATGTTTTAGAAATTATATCATAAAACGAGGAAATATAGGCCTGGGCAAGTTTATTTATATAGCACAATTCATACACAAGGCAACTCAAAGTGCTGAACAAAACAAGAAAGCATTAAAATCATAAATTATCACAGAACATTAAAAAGAAAGATAATATCCCTCAGTTGTATGCACAGTTAAACAGAACTGTCTTTAACCTGGTTTTAAACATTGTCAGAGAGGAGGCCTGTCTCACATCTTCAGGAAGACTGTTCCAGATTTTAGCAGCATGAATCTGAAAAGCAGCCTCCCCATGTTTAGTTCTGACTCTGGGCACTAACAGGAGTCCAGTCCCTGTGCTCCTCAGAGTCCGGGCTGGTTCATATGGGACTAACATGTCACTAATATATTTTGGTGCGAGGCCATGGAGAGACTTGTACACAAGCAGAGCTGTTTTAAAGTCTATTCTCTGAGCCACAGGAAGCCAGTGCAGAGACCTGAGGACTGGACTAATGTGGTCGTACTCCCTGGTTCTAGTCAGGACTCGAGCTGCTGCAATATGTTAGTATTTGTCTACCATATATTTACAAAATCAATACCAGGAACAACTTTGTAGAAGGAAATGTTTTGTCACCTCTGGTCTCGACAGCAGAGATAAACTTCTTCATTACGTTGAAGCCGATCATGTCCAGATGTGCCACTGGCGGAGACAGAAAAACTGTTTATCATTGATGGGTTAATGGTCCCCACATCCCTGTCACAGCCACTGTTATACTGTCTATACTATAAGCCATAATTACAGGTTTTATATTAATTGATATGTAAGACTATAATGAGATGTACTTACTTCCCTCTGTCTGGTTGTCTTTGTTTAGATTGTAAACCTGAAATTAAAACAACATACTTTTAATACCCTGCATGTTGAGTCATTAAAACAAACAAACAAATAGCCACTTTTCTACAGACATACTTAAAAACGTAACATTGAATATGGACAAAAAAATGGGGTCAGTTATTCGGTCAGTAATCCAATATTTTTAATATCTTGAAGGACTGTGTGAATGACTGATTTAGAGAATAGTATCATATTGTATTGGAAATATACTGTATGTTATATAATATTACTAATATGAATTAATAATTATTCATATTGACTTAGCAATTTGTTTTATAGTTCAACTAAAATCGTCAGAATAGGGAAACAATCCAGAGGCATTAAGTCGCGTCAATTTTACAATATCTAGAATGTTTTTTTACCGCTTCAACTTGTGTGAAATGTCTAAACTGAAGATTAGTGCTTGAATTATTTTTAGGAATATTAATTGAGGTACAGTAAAAGCATTAGCATATTTAATGGAATTGTTTTATTAGCTAAAACCAACAGAATTATCCCACTCAGTCACTGAAGACCTTTCCCTTCTTTAAATCTCTCTCTCCTCTCTCTCTCTCTATATACGTCTCCATCTCTGCATCCACCTCTCACTTTATGGAGTGAACAAATGCATCGTCATGGTAACGCACCGGCTCGCGCCCGTCCATGGCCTCCATCCACAGCCTGCGGTCCTCCTCAGAGAGCGCCTGCATCGTTATCACCCCCGGCCTTCAACACAAGCACAAGCAGGACATGCAATCATACGGCTTCAAAACAGCCAGAGAAAACACACAGGAACCTGCTTCAATCAAATACATGGGAATAACGAACGTATCATGGAGGACTTTTAATTCCACGTTAGTTGTGTGCTCAGGTCTCCGAGATGTGTGTGGTGGTATGGTGTTTTCTGATTTCTAATAATAATACTACATTTTATTTACTTTCTTTCTTTTTTCATTCATGCAGATCTGTGTAGCGCTGTATCCTTCAGCAAATTTCCCTTGGGACAATAACGTTTATCTTATCTTATCTTATTTTCTGTGTCTGTCCATGTGCATTAAAATATTTGCAAATAGTTTGTACAGATTCAGATTCAGACCATTTTCTCTATCCCATTTGAGTAGTATGGGGCATAATACGAAATGACACAGACGCAGAAAATGACAATAACAATAACATAAGGGATATGTATTGTTGAAACCTATCTTTTTTAACTGGGCTACATATACAAATTTGTCTTATCGTTTATTACAACAGTTTTCAGTTCCATCTATACTTTTTTTTCTTTTGTTGCTGGGTCACATCCAAAAAACAGATGCCCGAACCTCCTCAACTGGCTTCTCTTGGCTGGGAGAAGCAGCGGCTCTACTCCAAGCTCCTCTTGTGTGACTGAGCTCCTCATCCCACCGGTCTTGTCCTTTTCAGTCATTATCCAAAGTTCATAACCATAGGTGAGGGTGAGAACATTGGTTGACAGGTTAATCAAGAGTTTTGGCTTTGGACTCGTCACCACAAAAGTCAGGTTAAATTACAGTGGTTTGTGGTATGTTGAATCTTAAACTATATATATAGAGAGAGAAAAGTAACCTATGTCCCTTTGTGGCTGTTAGGATCTGTCAAAGAGTCCCTGAATGTTCTTTCCCACGTCTTAGTCAAACATACATGGTTTGACTGATTGTAAAAAAAGATAGGAGGTAAAACAAACTCTTTGCAAATAATTACTGATTTGAACACTGCTTTGTAGTGTTTGGCACGATATCGAGATGCAAATTTCCCTGGCAGATCTTGTGATTGCGATTATATTTGCAAATTAGTCTTTGTTTTTACAGGATTCAGTTAAAAGTTCACTATTTGAAACTGTTCAGGTATTTGAAACTGTTCAGGGTTTAACAATTGAAAGAACTCAAAAGTTTAATGAGACCATAACAACAATAATAGTCTATTCTATACATTCTACACATGGCACTGAATTATTGGATGTTTCTTTGTTCTTATCATAAATGTTTACTCATTTTTACCTTCATTTAACCGGGAAGTTCCACCTGTAACTTTTCACTTGAATGCAAGAATACATTGAATGTGTAAATATGTGTTTTACGCCTGTCTATTTTATTCGTTCGGTACGTGTGTTGCACTGTAGGGAAAAGCTCAACCAGGGACAGGAGGGGAAAATTAGCATTAGCGACACACTGTATGTGTCGCATCAGCTGCATCTTTCCTGCTGTAAATATGTATGATAAATAAAATGGAATTGCAAGAGTTAGCTAAAATGACTGCAAGAGATCTGATGTATAATGAGACTTGCAACTACCTTATCAACGACTTATTTCTGCACTTATTTCTTAAATATCGGTTTATGCTTCATCTATAAAAGTGTAATCATGATCTGCCGGACTAAGGAGGACAGTGAAGTTTCCTGACTTTATGCTCTCAGGGAACATCTTGACTGTGTGTGATGCGGTCAAGTGCCTCGGTCACATCATAACTGACCGTTTGACCGATGACGAGGACATGTATAGAGCAGGATTTTATACTGTATGCACAAGCGAACACCCTGTCTCGGAAATTCTCCTCCTGCTCTGTACACGTGAAAGTAGTTCTGTTTTGAGCTTGACCTCTGTACACAGCACATCTGTGCGTCAATTACATAAAGTCCCGCTTTCAGAAACTTACAGTTGCTTATACAATGATGTGCTGAGATTTTTTTTTAAAAGCCCAGATGGTTTTGTAGGTATTTTTACTTAATCTTACTTTGGATTATTTTGGTGCACAAGGGACACACAGGGAGAAGGGAAAGGGGGAAAAAAAGAAATGTGTAAAATAAGAGAAACAACGTTGTGTACATGATGTGATGAACATATGTATGTGATCGACAAAGTAATATGAATTTTAAAAAAAAAGCCCAGATGGACAAGAGCCAGTGAACTCTTTGTGCCAAGAGTAAACCCTTTGCAAGCTGTCTTGAGAATTTTGATGTTTAAGTTTATAGGTCGCCTGAACAATTCAAAGAATGCTGTGATTATTTTATCGTCCAGTGTTGTGTGCGACGAGGTGTGTTACACGTTACTGCTTTGGAAACATTGGTATGCCTGCCTCTTGAAAGTTTATTGTCTATTGTTTATTTTATTTTGAGTTTTTTTTGTCTGTGTCTGTGTTGATCTGGAGCTTGAGTCTGCAAATAAAGTTATCTACCTGTCTATAAGTATAACATAGACAGAGGAGAGAGAGACTGGTGCTGCTGTTCACAAGGACACAAACAGCTCTGCAGCGCCCTCATGTGGAGAAAATGTTACTACAAGTCTGTACACCTCACACCTACTCAAATAAGACACAGCAAAATTCAAAGTTGGGAAATCTATGTAGGAGGTGGGATGAACGAGATAAATGTAGACCAAAAACGTGCATATGCTTTGAAATACGTACACATCAGCTAATGAATGTAGAATTATGTGAAATGTGGATTCAGTTTTGGGTTATCTTGAGTTGCAATCACTTTTTGAACTTTGTTGGTATGAATTGATCCTGTGTGGAGTGAACCCCATGAGGACAAGACTTTTGGAAGCTAATGGGCATCAAAATAAATGAATAAAATGAATGTATAATTTAAGAGTTCAGAAAATCAATGCCAGAGATTTGTTCATGTTATTACAGGGGCTGAGCTTTTTCTTTTCCTGGGTTTAATCTTAAGAGAAATAGAGACTACAGAAAGTTTATAGACATGAAAGTACCTGTCCACTGCTTCCACGTCAAAACAAAACCTCTTTTCTATAGAGTCACTTTTCCTCCGAGTGCAAGACTTGAGAATAAAGCTCTCCTCTTCTCCCTGGAATTAAAAAGTAACAAAATAAAATAGTTAATGCAAAAATAATATGATAAGCAGAAAGCAAAGATGATTCACTTTTACCATTTTTCCTCCTGATTTGGGGTCGAACAGAACCATGGTGATTCTCTTGGGTTCTCTGTGGTAAGTGCAGTAGTACTTCACCCAGGTGGATACAAAGGAACCTGCAACAACACAACAAGTCTATTCTCAATTATTTCACGAATGAAAAGCAAACGTGGCGGATGAAAAGGTCTGCTCGATGTTATTCAAGCACTTGGGAGAACTCGGGAGAGCGCATGCCCCACGCCATCAATAATATCTTAAATGGAAACAAATGTCTTCAACAATTTAAATCTAGGTTAAAATACAGTCTTAACCCTTTACAAGAACTGCCTTGTAGAAATTCATCCAGTCAAGATAATCGTGTAAAACTTTTTTTTATTTTTTTTATAAATAGGTTTTGACCTGGTTCAGAGCTGGTTTAGACCTGGTTTAGTCCTGGTTTAGTCCTGGTTTAGACCTGGTTTAGACCTGGTTTAGTCCTGGTTTAGAGCTGGTTTAGAGCTGGTTTAGTCCTGGTTTAGACCTGATTTAGTCCTGGTTTAGTCCTGGTTTAGTCCTGGTTTAGACCTGGTTTAGACCTGGTTTAGACCTGGTTTAGACCTGGTTTAGTCCTGGTTTAGACCTGGTTTAGTCCTGGTTTAGTCCTGGTTTAGACCTGGTTTAGACCTGGTTTAGTCCTGGTTTAGACCTGGCACCAAAAGGCGAGAGCACATTACACCTGTTTTGAGGTCACTGCACTGGCTCCCTATTTCATATCGTGTTGAGTTTAAGATAATTTTATTTGTTTTTAAATGTCTTCATGGTCTTGCTCCTCAGTATCTGTCTGACCTGTTTCAGCCCTATACCCCTGCACGCTCCCTGAGGTCAGCAGATCTGTCTTTGCTGGTTGTTCCCAAAACAAAAAGAAAAACCAGAGGCGACCGTTCTTTCGCTGTTGCTGGTCCTAAACTGTGGAACGCACTGCCCCTGCACCTCAGACAGACAGAGTCTCTTGTTCCTTTTAAATCCTTAAAACACACCTTTTTTCCTTGGCTTTTAACACAACCTGAGAAGTTCGACTTTGGAATGTTTTGTACTTTTGTTTTTACTGTTTTATTAATGTAATCCTCATTGTTGTGTTCAGCACTTTGGTCGACGCTGTTGTTTTTAAAGTGCTTTATAAATAAAGTTGGATCGGATTGGATTGGATTGGTTTAGTCCTGGTTTAGACCTGGTTCAGACCTGGTTTAGACCTGGTTTAGACCTGGTTCAGAGATGCCGTGATCTTAAGCTGAGTACATTGTGTGTTGTGAGTTCCAAAATGAGGTGAACGTACGTTTCTCCTGCACAAACAGGTAGCCCTCCATGGTGTGGTGGCTCACGCTCTTGTGCTCGTGAGGATTCTCCTTCATCTTCTTCATCAAACTCTCCACCTCTGACCTTGTGCTCTCAAAACGGTTCCTCGTCTGCAAACAGGAAGAGAATCACATGAATTGATAAATGATCTTCAATAGTCAGAGATTCTTTGAAATAGAAATGTTCACGGACAGCATTCTACAAAGTCCATTGTAGTCGTTTGAAAGAAAGAAAGAACATAAACATAACACAAAAGAAACAACTTTGCCAGAGTGACCTTACGTTCTGTATGCTGATTGTCAGGTTGGTCTTGAAGTGATTGAAGTCTTTGGCAAGCTCGTATCCATGGTGATAGTACGTGAACAGACCTTGCAGAAACGCTAACAACTGTAAAAAAGTAAAAAAATAAAACATAAAACATAAATATGAATATATACATGTCTTATAGAAGTAACATTTTGTGAATTAGAGCCCTATGAGTCACTATTTGACACTTTCGGCTGAGTAAGCTTGGTCCTTGGTTTTATTTTACTTTTCTGTCCAGACTAATACATGCAGGTGAAAACAGTGTGTGACAGAACTGTTTCACGGCCAGGAACTAGTGAAATGAATTTGAACACATAGTATTGTCATTGTCATTATAAGAAACAGGAAGTGACAAACTAGGAATTTGCTTTGGCTCAGCGTGCAAACAAGATATAAGAGTAGAAATATATAATATATAAGGCATGCATAACAAATCTTCATTACGTTTCTTGAAGTGACTAATTATAAAGTTAGGTACCCTAGCTTTAACACCAGGGGTTACGCATGTTTTGGTGTGCTCGCTATGAGTGTGCGTCAGATCAGAACCACTTAACACACACATTTATCTATACACAGCAATAGAGTTGTTTTTCTGTTTTTTTAAATGACCAAATAGCAGCAATAATATTGGTGTTAAAAGCACAAACTTGTAGAACCAGAGATGAAGGGTTTGTGGATTCTTACAGGTTCAACAAAGTCAAACATCTTCCGCTCCTGCACCTCCTGCACTTTGAACACGTACTCCAGAGAAACCTCGTAGAAGTGCTGCCGTACGTTGTCCACCTGATTGTCGGCCTGCAGGAAAACAAAACAAAAACACTTTATTTTCGAGTACAGTAGCCTTAAAATGCCAGAATGTTTGAGATGTGTGCTTTTCCAAAAAAAGAAAAGCTACTAAAACAAGCAAAAAATTAATTATTATCTTGGCAGTGGAATTAAACAACACAAGGGATAACACAATTAGGACACAAGACCTCACAAGTAAAACAGTGGCTCAGTTGGTAGAGCATTGGCCTTTGGGCCCAAAAGTCGTGGGTTCGAGCCCACCCCGAGACCTTCTCCACTGACTCCCACTGATCTCTACTGCCGTTGTATCCTTGGGCAAGACACTTAATCCACTTTGCCTATACGGGGCACGGAAGTGATGTCCGCTGCTTGCCTTGATGTATATGTGTGTATATGTGTATGCATCAAACTGAAATTTCCCTATTGTGGAACGAATAAAGGACCTTCTTCCCAACACAAACAGAGTGGTTAGATTGAGTTTAATTGGTTTCAAAAAGCGTTAAACACCAGGTATTCCTCAATACAGTACAATGATAGCAATTATATTAAATAAAATGTTGTATATATATAAATTATATACAGCCTTCAGAACGATGTGACCTTTAAATGTTTGTTGTTGTAACATCAGCTCATGACAAACTCTATTCCCACACAGCAGACCAGAAACAGAGAAGTTGCACATCAGCAAAAGCCATGGCAATGATTTTCGTTCTAGATAAATTTCCCCAATCACAAATCTGATTTAAAAAACAATTAGTTTATATTATATGACAAGCAGGGAATTGAGGTTATGTTATCAAACCTCGATGTTATAATTTATTATGAATCAAACAATAGGAGGAGGCGAAATAAGTGTCAAACTTCAGCCTCAACTTTTTCAGTCTGCAGAGTTGTTAATTTATGTTTGTGAAATGGTTCGTGCCATCTTATTTTGTTTGAATACAAACTGCGGAAAAAAAAATCTATATAAAAAAATATTTTGTGCTGAAAAAACACCCATTGGACATGATATAACATTTTGAAATTTTGAAAACCAAATATCAATACAACTTAAACAAAAGTCCATTGATTTCTATTTTCAACAAGTCAGTATTATCACCACTATATAAGGCCAGTACAACGAAGTGCAGACATAGCAGCACCTCACTGTATCACATATATGTATATGTACTAAACAACAATGGCCTCTTTACCTCCAGTAGATGGGACTCCTTCTTCTTCGCCGATAGACTTAAATGCTTTTCCATCACCGCACAATACTTTTCTGTTTCTTTGTCATATTTTTTCCTTGCTTCCTGCAATAAAAAAAAACAAAGAACACACATTGATTACAAGTTAAATGGTTTGACGCAGGCTTAACCTTTCTACATAGGGGATCGGGAGGAAGTCGCATTGTCCATTTTTATGTTGTGAAATGTTTTATGACTCAATTGTTGGGAGTGTGGAATGAAATGGCAGCTCGGGGAACAGATGTGGTTATTAAACACCAGGGCGTGAAAAGCGGTGTAATGAACAGGGACAGACAGAAGAGAAGGGAGCGGCCGCCAGAGTTTACATCAATAACAGATTTATAAGATCACTGCAAAAATAAACGGCATTTAAAACACACAGTTATTAAAAGCTGAATTTGTATATTTTAGTTTGGTTTGAAATAACATTGGGCCTCATTCACGAATAACTTTGTAAGAAACTACTCAACTTTCTTCTCAAGTTGTCCTTAAGTAGATTTCTAAGAAGTCCCCACGTGGGATTCATCAACGCACTCGTAAGCCGCTGAATTGTTCGCAGCTGTTCTCTCAGATTGATGAATCCCATTTCCTCGTAAGTACAGCGCGCGTGCCAGGTGCTTCATTAGCATAGGTACTTAGCATAAGTAACCGCCCACTAATGCCCATATAAGGGACTGCAGGGCCGTGTGCAGACGGCCTAACAGGCCTAAAGCAAAGAGTTACACAGAGCAAAAGAGTCACCCTTTTTTCTTCTTTTACCAGACTGAGAATAAAGTTATAAAATGTTGACTTAAAATTCGAAATATTATGATAATAAAGTCGAACTAGCAAAATTATGAGATTAATCTAAGAATATGATGAGATTAATCTCAAAATGTTATGAGCTTAATTTAAAAATATATTATGTATTATTTTAAAGATGAATCTCAAAATGTTTTGAGATTAATCTCAAAATATTTTGGACCCTGGGAGGAGATCCAGCGCGGACCAGCGCTGAGACCAATGCAGACCCGAGGAGAGACTGGAGTGACCAGCACACAGAAACCAGCGCGGACCTATAGGAGAGACCGCATAGACTGGAGTGACCTGACTGGAGAGACCGGTGCGCAGAGACCAGCGCGGACCGAAGATAGACCGCATAGACCAGACTTGAGAGACCAGCGCGGACCCGTATGGAGAGAGACCAGTGCAGACCCGTATATGGGAGAGACCAGTGCAGACCCGTCTAGATCCATGGGAGAGACCAGTGCAGACCAGTATAGATCCATGGGAGAGACCAGCGCAGACCCGTATAGATCCATGGGAGAGACCAGTGCAGACCCGTATAGATCCATAGGAGAGACCAGCGCAGAGACTCAGCGCGGACCCAGTAACCTCCTGCAGCAGCAGTATATATGCCGTTGTTCTGTGGCCCGTGGATAAAGAAATGCCCCCTATAAATAGGAAGGGGTCACTAATACACGGCAAGATTTCCAATGTATTTGATAAAGCGTTGGCACATTTCATTTCAAAATGAATTAAAAAGTAGGCCAGATCTGCAGTGAAAAAGGCGGTATATAAATAAAGATTACTAATAAAGATTACTACAAATAAATACATACATCGATATGACGGACATATCACTGGAATGTTGTATTTTTATTCAACTTCACCAAAGAGGACAACCCCCGCGTGTGAACATGTCGGCACTGAATGCGTACGAGTGCTCCTGAGGACTCGTAGGATTTGTACTTGCCCAAGAGAAATTCTGGTTACGAGAAATATTCGTGAATGCCACTTTCTTCGTAAAAACCGCGTAAGTAGGATTTACGTACAAATCTGTTCCTAAGAACCGTTCGTGAATGAGGCCCATTGTTCTGCCCTCAAATTGAACTTTAGTGCGTATCACAGAGAGGACTATACTGTATGTTTCACACAATATAGATAACATAATTAGATTTAAAGCTGGGGAACCTAAGTTAACATAAGAAAAGAAATGTCCCAACAGGAAAGATTCTTGTAAAAGTAACATATTGTGAAGAAACCAAATCCCAACATTCTGTCTTTATCTCATGAAAAAACAATGTTATGTTTTTCATACTTGCAAGAAGCCCTGTGAGTCACTATTTGACACTTTGGGCTGATTGGAGGTCCTCTCTTTTTCTCTTTTCTGTCTGAAAAACCTGATCTGAAGATGTGACAGAGCCCAAACATACATATATGTGAATCTAGTGGCAGAACTAAACTGTTTGAAAGCGAGGAAGTAGTTTGATACTAGTTTTTTACATTTTTTGTGGTTGGAGAGTTTTGGTTCCACAGCTATACAATTTTGCTAAGGATTGTACATATCTTTATTTTTATAATTTTTCATCCTGGTTGTGATAGGTGACATAACACAAGGGATGGAACAGTATGACACAGGAGTGTTTTTCTTCACAAACTTTGACGTTTCTGGAGTCTTTCCACCATAATGCAGTCAGTATAGTATGGGATAGAGGACGGATATGTTGATGGACTGACTGTGATACTAACCCAAACCCGTGTGTACAAGAATATCATGAAATGCAGTAAAAGTAATGCTGTAGTTGTTTCTGTACACAGAGTATACTGAATACAAGTTGTTGTGTTTAATTAGCGCTGAATCTGTTTTTGTGACACAGGACGCAGATGTGATGTTGTTTTCAGCAGAAACAGCAGCTGTTGAACACATTAGTGATGGAGCCACAAAACCAAAAGATTAACTGTTAATGTGTCTGAAAAGTCTGCAAAGAGTTTTTGTTTAGTGTATTTATAGTGTCACTGAAAGTGCTGAACAAAACAAGATAATTGACATGCACACAATGGGCCTCATTCACGAACGGTTCTTAGGAACAGATTTGTACGTAAAACCTACTTACGCGGTTTTTACGAAGAAAGTGGCATTCACGAATATTTCTCGTAACCAGAATTTCTCTTGGGCAAGTACAAATCCTACGAGTCCTCAGGAGCACTCGTACGCATTCAGTGCCGACATGTTCACAGCCGGGGTTGTCCTCTTTGGTGAAGTTGAATAAAAATACAACATTCCAGTGATATGTCCGTCATATCGATGTATGTATTTATTTATTTGTAGTAATCTTTATTAGTAATCTTTATTTATATACCGCCTTTTTCACTGCAGATCTGGCCTACTTTTTAATTCATTTTGAAATGAAATGTGCCAACGCTTTATCAAATACATTGGAAATCTTGCCGTGTATTAGTGACCCCTTCCTATTTATAGGGGGCATTTCTTTATCCACGGGCCACAGAACAACGGCATATATACTGCTGCTGCAAGAGGTTACTGGGTCCGCGCTGAGTCTCTGCGCTGGTCTCTCCTATGGATCTATACGGGTCTGCGCTGGTCTCTCCCATGGATCTATACGGGTCTGCGCTGGTCTCTCCCATGGATCTAGACGGGTCTGCACTGGTCTCTCCATACGGGTCCGTGCTGCATGCTCCTGGATCCATACGGGTCCGCGCTGGTCTCTCAAGTCTGGTCTATGCGGTCTCTCTTCGGTCCGCGCTGGTCTCTGCGCACCGGTCTCTCCAGTCAGGTCACTCCAGTCTATGCGGTCTCTCCTATAGGTCCGCGCTGGTTTCTGTGTGCTGGTCACTCCAGTCTCTCCTCGGGTCTGCATTGGTCTCAGCGCTGGTCCGCGCTGGATCTCCTCCCAGGGTCCAAAATATTTTGAGATTAATCTCAAAACATTTTGAGATTCATCTTTAAAATAATACATAATATATTTTTAAATTAAGCTCATAACATTTTGAGATTAATCTCATCATATTCTTAGATTAATCTCATAATTTTGCTAGTTCGACTTTATTATCATAATATTTCGCCTTTTAAGTCAACATTTTATAACTTTATTCTCAGTCTGGTAAAGGAAGAAAAAAGGGTGACTCTTTTGCTCCGTGGCCTGTTGCTTTAGGCCTGTTGCTGTTTCCTCTGCCGTCTGCACACAGCCCTGCAGTCCCTTATATGGGCATTAGTGGGCGGTTATCTATGCTACGTACCTATGCTAATGAAGCACCTGGCACGCGCGCTCTACTTACGAGGAGTCGGCATTCATCAATCTGAGAGAACAGCTGCGAACAATTCAGCGGCTTACGAGTGCGTTGATGAATCCCACGTGGGGACTTCTTAGAAATCTACTTAAGGACAACTTGAGAAGAAAGTTGAGTAGTTTCTTACGAAGTTATTCGTGAATGAGGCCCAATGCATTTACATCATGAATAATGACTGTACATTAACAAGAGTAAAGATAAAAGAACTGTTGTAAACTTGGATTTAAACATTGTCAGAGAAGAGCCGTGTCTCACATTTTCAGGAAGACTGTTCCAGATTATATCTCATGAATCTGAACTGCAGACTCCCCATGTTTAGTCCTGTCTCTGGAACCAGACACTTATGCACTTTGGTGTGAGGCCATAGAGAGACTTGTAACAAGCAGATCTGCGTTAAAGTCTTTGAGCCACAGGAAGCCAGCGCAGAGACCTGAGGACTGGACTAATGTGGTCGGACTTCCTGGTTCTAATCAGGACTCGAGCTGCAGCATTTTGAATATACCACAGCTGTTAAAATGATAGTTTTTGTGAAATTATGCACTATTTTTTTAATTCCATACACTTTGGTGGTAAACTACTGCTGTAGCCACAGGTGCCCTGAGGCAGAATGACCATAAAAGGCAATGTGGGTGAAGGGTCTTGCCCAAGGACACAGCAACAGTTTGGCACTTTACACTGTTACACCTGTTGTTCTCAGAGGTCTCCCATCACAGCATGAGAAAAGCTTGAGAAAGGGCCAGGCTTTTACACGTAAGTGGTAAACACAATCAATCAATCAAATGTTATTTATAAAGTGCATTTCATACAAAAGATCTCCCTATTCTCTCCGATGTGCAGACACCACGATTAAAATAGAGATCATATATTTATATTTCCCCATTTACTGAATTTCTGGATTGTGAGATCAATAACACATAAAGTATATAATATCTTATTTCGGATTTTGCTGCATTTATATGATTAAATATTATGTTTTTTTGCAGTTTTATTCACCT